TTGTCTTTGACCTTGTTTGTCAGTTTCCAGCCTTACTGACAGGTTTAATACGTGAGTCGTGCCACAGGGACAAGATGAGGAGCAGTGAGCACAGGCCGTCCTTTCAGGTTAGGAGGATGTTTGAAGTTATTTGTGCCCTGTTAGAACACGATGGGTGGGAGTCACAGGCTGTCTCAGGAGGACAGTGTGGCTCCTTCCACCCTCTGCCTTCAGGACCTCCATGGAGAAGTAGCCTCAGGGGACATTTAAAAGGAGTTACTTGAGCAAAGGTTGTAGGGATTAAAACTTTGTTGTTGTTGTTTTCTTATGTTCAACTTAGTACAAAATGTGTAGTGTATATAGCTGAGAATAAAGCTGTTATGTGTGGTGGTTTCTCCCCCTGAAGGGAACGGTTGACATGGCTTTTCTGTGAGCTTTGGGGAAACTTGTGAGTGTGGGTGTTTCAGGTTCAGCTGAGGGTATCCCCACTGCCCCTGCAGCTGGCTGGATAGTGAGAATTGAAGTTAGAGTGTCTTCATGGTGGTCTGGAGCGCACCCTGGACTAGTTTCACTAGCTTCCAGTGTTAGGTCTTTTATTTGCTGGGCATTAAGGTGGGGTTACAGGCGATGTGTGTTCTTGAAGTTTAGATCTGCAAGGCCTAGGTTTGGTAAAATACCTCTTCCCTTTCATTTCTGGGGTGCCCTGTGGGGAGAAGGGCTGATGAATGGTGAATCATTTCCCTAGGGCTTCCAGTGGCATGAGTGAGATGGAGTCTGTGAGCTTATTTCTTCCCCCAGACTCTGCTTCTTGAAGTTTTGATATGTTGTTTTAGCTTAGAAATATTGTTTCCCACTTTCCCTAGTCCTCATGCCATTAATCTAGGATAATTCATTTCTTTGTTTAATTTTAAAAGTAGAATGTTAAGAACTAAAAGGGATTTTTAAAGTATTCTAAGCCAAGGGCTTCTTTCACAGTTGAAGTTCCTGAGACCTGATGTCAGGTGACTGACTCTAGGTTAAGTTTAGCTAGGGAAGCTGGGGAAGAGGAAGGACTGGAGACCAGGACTCCCCCTTGTTTTATACCAGTTTCAAAATCCATACAAATTTTCTTGGTGAAGAATCATTAAAAATGAATAACCATTATAAAGAAGGGCTCTCTGTAATAAAGACATTTTCCATGCCCTGAATTTTAGCCCAAAGGAGCAGAGCAGAATCCACTAATATTAGATAACAGTAAACTCCTATGATTTCTTTGATAGCTGTCCATGTGTAAAAGCTACTTTCTCTAAAAACAAAAGTTAAGCAGTTATATAGACTGTAAGTTCTTGATACATCTATTGAGCTTTGAATTGATCTTAAAACCTCTTAAATAAAAATACACCTCCAAATATTGACAAGTAACACTTTCACTCCACTAGTTAATCCAACCAAAAGTTAGGAACAAGGAAAGGAATGGTTGCTGAAAGTGTTTCTGTTCTATTCTGCTCCTTAGAATGGTCTAAAGCACCTCTTTTTGCTTCTAACTTTTAAACAAAGTTTCCATTTATGGGCTCTGTACATTGGGATTTTTAATACATTCACATTGACTGAACAATTTTCAGAACAGTTTTCTAGACATTCTTTTAAATAGGAAAAGTTTTAGTAGTCTTCAACTTGTTAAGATACTCACTTCACCTTTACCTGGATCAGTACTTTAATGACTACACTTTTTTTTTTTTTTTTTAAATCCTCACCCAAGGATATGCTTTTTTTAAAAAAATGATTTGAGAGAGAGGAAGGGAGAGAGATAAAGAGAGAAACATTGATGTGAGAGAGAAATATCAGTTGGTTGCCTCACGTACGTGCCTAACTGGGATCAAACCCGCGCAGCCTGGGTATGTGCCCTGACCAGGAACTGAGCCTGAAACCCTCTGGTGTACCAGACAAGGCTCCAAGCAACTGAGCCACTAGTCCAGGGCTATACTCTTTATTTTTAAGCGTAAGACTTCTATACTTAAAGTATCACAATTATGATCTGACCTCCCTTTAAAAATTTTTTCATAGCCAATTGGTGAGTTATGTATGACAGGAAATTTATAGATGTGGGAATCCTAAAATTAGAGGAGTTGAATGACTTTCCAAATGGGAAAAAGTATAATAGGTACTAGCCTAGACAATTTAATTCTTAGTTCACTGTTCTTTTTACTTACATTTCACTTTTAAATAAGTAGAAGAAGGTTGAAAATAAAGAGCCACAGTAGGTGTAAATGTATAAAGATTCTGAGGTGTCATCTCTGTTCCACTGAAACACAGGGAAACTCTGAGCTGTGTACACCTTAGAGTTCACTCTTGTTTAACACTGTGCTATTCATTCTTGGGAAGAGAAAGGTTTACTTCTTTGAAAGTACAGAGTAACTTTATCATTTCTACCTGCATCTTAAATGATTGCCATTAATAATACATAAATCCTAAAAAGGAAATTGCTTTGTTTTTCCACTAAAGGAACATAACCAGAAATGTGCTATAAGCTTTAGTACATTGTCATGAATATCTTAGATTAGGTTTTGAAGTGAAATTGACTTTGGTCATGAGTAGATTTTATGAAATTGTAATAGTTCCTTGCATTCTTAAGCATTCCAAATAGTTTTCTTCCCCTCACCCTCCATTAAAAAGCATGAGTTCTGGAGCCCCAAAATTGCTTTTATTTTTAATGGCCAATTTTTCTTTTGATTTTCCTACCTCATTTTATTTTCACTGATAAACATTTTTTTGCTTTTGTTTAAAGGAAAGTTAAAACTTTCACTTCCAGTTTAGCTTTATAGCCACATTAAGATCAGGACCTGGTTATTTTGGTGATGTGGAGCGTATAATCATTACCTTGGAGAGGGCTGGGCATCACTTTTAAATAGCAGAACTCTCACCTCTGTGCAAATATTTACCAAGTTTTTATTGCAGCCCGGGGTGACTTCTAGTTACTCATTCAAAAGTTGAGCTGTCTATTGGCATCTCGGTGATCATGTCTCAAAGAGGCCTTAAGCTTCTCCAAATCAGAATGATTTCCTCCTTCCCTTTTAAAAGGTAACTTGTAGGGAGCCCTGAAATACCCTCACCATGCCCTTTCATGGTTTAGGGTTATTTAGAGATGCTTCTAATAAAAAAACCCCACAATATAACCTGTTTTCATGTTTTAAAACATTGAAAGTTAAGAATCATGCCACATAATTATGCCAATTAGTTAACAGTTACCATTTATGTTTATATATGTGTATGTGAACTGTGGGAAGACTTCGTAAAAAATTCAATTGTTGGCTAACTAAGGTCAATGACTTAGCTGCCCCAGAGAAACATGCAATGTAAGCAAATGCCGTGTGCTGGCTGTGGCGATGCATCTTTAGGCATGTCCCTAGCTCTCGCTTGCAACCCTGTTGCTAACTCTGACCCATCCTATATGGATATTCTGGAGGCACCACTGTGGTCAGAACCATAGTTGACAAGAATAAGATCTGATAAAAAATAGGAGTTTGGAGGAAAATAAAAAGGATACTGTTTTTTAAAAATAGTATTTAAAATTCCTCGGAGGCATCTACTTTCGAAACAAGCCAGACTTCCTGACTTTAGAATCTGCTTCTGGATCACCTTTCTCAGTTGTTAAGGAAATATTATTTCTAAGTGTGAGGTGCTGAGACAGAGTCACTCACAGATATAACAATAACCTGCCTCTGTTTAAGTTTGTGAACAGCCTTTCCTGCCCTGATATGTAATGTCATTGACACTTACCTCCTCCCTTTTGCTTCCTTTTCTCAGATCTCAGCAAAACGATCTGTGTAAATGCCAGGTACATAAAAATTATGGCGTTGTTTGAGGAGACGTTTTGTGACTGATGTACTACATATGCCTAAAATGTAGTAGTTGCTCAATAAATATTGTTGACTGAATGAATGGTGATTTTTCCTGACCTTGGAACTGAGCAGTATCTGTAGGCATATTGGAAAGTTACAGGGAATAGTGGAGCCATGAATACATTCTTTTTCTTTCACTTAAAGGCATATTAGTTTCCTAGGATTGCTACAGCATGTTATCGCAAACAGGGTGGCTTAAAACAACAGAAATTTATTGTCTCACAGTTCTGGCAGCTAAGGTCTGATCAGGATGTTGGCAGGGCCATACTTCCACCAAAGCTCAAGGGAAGACTCTTTCCTTGCTTGTAGCTTGTGGTAGTTGCCAGCCATCAGTGTCCCTTGGTAATATAACTCCAGTCTCTGCCTCTGTCTTCACAAGGCCATCTCTCCTCTGTGTGTGACAGAGTCCACGTTTCTCTCTTTTTATAAGAACCGCAGTCATTGGATTAGGGCCCAGGTCATTGGATTAGGGCCCACCCTAATCCAATAAGATCTCATCTTAATTTGATTACATCTGCAAAGACCCTGTTTCTGAATAAAGTCACATTCACAGGTTCTGGGTGGACACATATTTTTTTTGGGGGATGCTATTCAACCCAGCACAAGAGGGTTGAAGAGAATATCAAATATGAGATGATCTCAGATTTTGAACTGTTGGGATATGCCAGGGTTTCTCAACTTGAGTGCTACTGACATTTTAAGACATGATAATTCTTTGTTGCTGGGAGGGCTATCCTGTGCCTTCCACGATGTTTAGCAGAATTCCTGATCTCTGTCCACTAGATGCCAGTCACACGTCCTAGGCCCTGAATTAAAACAACCAAGAAGTTTCTAAATGTTGCCAAATGTCGGTGGGGGCAAAATTGCCCTGTGGGAGAATCACTTGTATAGAGGTATAAAATGGCATTTTCTCAAATTACCTTTTTTAAAAGAATGTTGTCCAATGGTTAGCATATTAGGTCTTTAAGTCAATTGTGTACAAGCCACAAAAATAGTTAAAGGTTAGGGTTGCCCCAGTTGTACTCACAAGGTTAATGCATCTGGGATGATGCCAGCCTAACTTCAGAGAGGATTTTCTGGAGGGCAAAGATCAGGCCAGTCTGGCTCACTACAGTATGCCTAGGGCTGGGCACAATTTCATAGTAATTATAATTTTAACAGCATGTTGTTAAGTACTCTATTACTCTATCTATGTTATCTCAATCACATAGTAAGTGCTCAGTAAATATTTGTAGATTGAATACTGTTGGGAAGAACTGAATGTATGCGTGAATACAAGCTTTTATTTCTAGTATCCTAGAAGAAATGAAATTATATTTGCTGAAGAGAACATAACTTCTTCCATTGATTGTCTCCTTTTGATTTGGGGACTGATACTGTGGTAGACATAATTAGGACCTATATTGAAGGATGTTGGCTATCTGCTCTCCTGTGTGAGAGCGGGGTTTCTTTTTATTCTTCTTGTCTAAGGATACTTGTCTAAGGACTGAACTGGACAGTCATGGTCCTTGCCTTCTGGAAACTCCTCTCTGGAATTTGCATCATAGCAAATGCTCAACTCTGTCAGGACAGTAGTATACCAGGGTCAGTACTAAGAATTAATGTACCATTTGTGCTCCAATGGATTTGTCTCTCATACTGAAAGACTGGAAATTTTAATCTAACAGGAACTAATTTCTCTCTCTTTAGGACCACTGAAGCCAGAAATAACTGTCTCCTACATTGCTGTTGCAACAATATTCTTTAACAGTGGACTATCATTAAAAACAGAGGTACTGTCACCTATGGGGCACATGAAAAGCAGGGAGAAAAATTTAATTTGTACTTAATATTTTGAAATTTCCAAATCCTTTTGTAAAGCTGTGTGTGGCTGTAGCCTGAAGGCTTCACTATAACAGAAGACAACTTGGACCTCAGCATAGGAACTTGCGTTTTATATGTACATATTCTAGAAATTTTATAGTTGAGCAGCATGTACCCTAAAGATGTGGTTATAATGGGTATGTTTTTAATATGACAGCTGAAGTGATGCATCTCCTTCAGGTCTTCCTCAGATGATGGTGGTAGCTATAGTGGTGCCTACGGTGGTCCCTTTAGGCTGCTATTTGGGTTTCCATAACTTTGTTCCTAGGACTGATGCTGCTCAAGTGATGCTTGTTATAACTTTTAACTAATTTGTATTATTTTAAAAAAAGTATATTCTTTGCTAGTCTATCTGTTAAATGTTAATAGATGCTTTAAGGAAATATTGGCATTTTTCATATTAAGTCACACTCTCATGAAGACATACTGCTAATGTTATTTACTAATCCAGCTGTCACTGAACATGGGATTTTTTGGAATTAAGAAATCCAGACATTTTTATACCTGAAAAGGAATGAGTAGAATTTATGATTCTCTTTTGACTTACAGTGGAAGAAAAAAAATAGAAGAAAATACCTATTTGCTTTTGAAGACCATAGAGTTTTAAAAGTTGTCATTCTACGGTACTTAGTCTTATATAAACAGGGAAATCTTACTATGTAAGAAGGATTTTTTTTTTAAATGATTTTAAAACTTACAATTCTGTTTGTGCATATCTTGCCCATGCTTAAAGTTTCTTTCTTTTAAGTGTGATTTGAATGAAGATCAAATCGACCTACCTCCTTTTGATCATCCTAGTACCAACATGGAAAAAAAAACCCAGTTTTACTAAATTTATGTATTTTGTTGTTAGCAGGTTGATATAAATCTTTCCATTGAGGACATTTTGGATGTAGATGGGATCCACGTATAGTGTCTACGACAGATAAATTGTGTCTCAAGAATGCTAAATATTCTTACTGATTACTGGTCTTCTGAAAATAGCTGACATGGATGGGGATTTCCTAAATATGTCAAATTACAGTTTTTATAAATTATGTTGATAAGAAAGGACTGTGACTAGTCCTTAGAGGGCACAGGCTTTTCCTGTCAACACCAGAGTCCTATTGGTCCTCAAATGCGGGACACAATGGTACAGAAAGATATTTGCCACTCCTGTGGTGCTCCTCTGATCTTCCCTGGAGGTCTCCCTCCTGGCCTTGGCTAGTAGTGCTCTTAGTGAAGCAATTGCCTCACCCAAATCCTCTACTTGGGAGGGTGCTGTAACTACGCCCCCTGGTGGCTGCTCAATGGCTACAACTGTTGCTTATGCCATGGGAAATCTGGCAAGAGACTTGATTCTCTCCTTAGCTTCTTGCTTAGTGCTGTTCTGTAAAGCTGCCATCTTCATGGGATGCAGGAGTTGCAGAAGGAATGTCACAGTTGTCAGCATTTCTCTAAGGACCGAATTCTTCTGTAAGTACCTAGGAAACCTTCAGAGTCATCCAGCTAATTTGGATCTAATGATGAAATGCCTGGATCTCTTTGCATTCTCATGTTTCTAAGTAGCCATCAAAGCCACTTCTGCCATAAAGGACCCTTTTGAAACTAATACAACACTAGGTCATTTTCGAGATCCATTTAACTTAAGATGCCCTAGATTGCATTATTGTGTAATGTTAAACCATCTCTAAGCCCTGCTCATTTCCTGGGCAACTGAATAGTTGTAAGTTAGAAGGTAGGAGTCTTGTTGTTACTTGTTTTCTAGTTAATAATCTTAAATTAATTTCATCTGAGACAACTACTTTTGTACCCTATTAGGTTTTAGAATAGGGCACTTTTGCACACAGGAGACGAGCTATTATAGACTTGAGTTTATTTGAAAGTGTTTACAGTGACCCCATTTGAGTTTGATTCATACTAATCATTTCATGTAGTATTACTCATACATTGATGTAATGATGTGTATTCTAAGATTTGTTTTGCTCATTTATTAAATTTATAAAGAACTCTGTGTTAATACTTCATGCTAAGAAGATTTAATGCTAAATCTTCAGTTTTATAACTTGATTTCTAGTTTTTAAAATACGTGTTGAAATGGTTTCTGAAATTTTATTGTACTGAAGTGTAATTAGGTCACATTCGAAATATATTTTATATAGAGCTAACTTCAAACCTACAGCTTCAGAGGATTTGTCATTTAACAGACGGTGGCAGGACCAATTCATTCAGACAAATAACCTATCAAGTGCCTGTGACTACAAGGCACTGTGCTTGGCACAGGGATAGAAACAAAGATAAACAGGAAGCTTCGGGGCCTGAAAAAGTTACTGAGTAGAGCAGAATATACAGGTTTTTCCTTATTTTCCTAAACAGATTATTTTTAAAATCCCATTTACTCAGAAGTAAATATAGCAAATCCCAAACTTTAGGCTTATGCTGCTTGTTTCCATCCCAGAGCTATGAGGCTGACCCTCAGAAATCAAATAAAGGCCATGTAAGAGTTAGAAGGGAAATTGGTGTGTAATGAAAATATTTCTATGTCCCAGTCAGAGTCCCTGATTTTAAGCCATTCTTGATGTTGTCAGTGAGACTCTGGTATAATCAGTATTTGGAATATCTTCTTAAGTTTGTTTTTAATGGAATTTTACCTGTATTATATGTGAATAAACAAAATGTCCTACAGACCAACTTTTCAATTATTCATGATGGTATTTATATGAGTATGTGGGATATATATGGAATAATGCTATTTTGGATTTTATGGTGTTGCTTTTTCTTTTCTGTTGTTACCTTGTTTTCTCTTTAACATTGTACAAAGATCTAAGAAATACATAACACTGGGTTTTTGTGACAGTCTTGAAAATCTTTCTCAGGAAACACTTCACGTTTGTTATTTCCCTGTTGTTAAGAGGCCCCTTATGACCCAACACAGTAGGCCCTGGTGATTCATTTTGCTGGGTTCTTACTGTTCCATTATTCTGATGTGATATCAATTGTTTCTAATTGTCGTTTATTAGGTCATGCAGAATTCTCTAACTGCATTTTATTTTTCATAACTCTTTTCTGATTACAGAAGTGGTATTTCCCCATTGCAGAAAGGTTAGGAAGAGTAAAAGCAACTGTTAGAACATATATGTGGTTTTTTAGTTCTTTTTTTCTTAAACATATTTTACATACAGAATATTTAAAAAATAAAGTATTTTTTAAAATTCTATATATACGTACTTGCATACATATACCCACACATAGATGCATATATAGTCTTATTTTTTTCTATGTGACATTGTATAATAATAATATTTCATGCAATTTAATACTGTTATTTAATTTTGCTTCACTTATATAGCGAAAAATAAGATAATTTACATTTTGTTTACCTTTATGTACATAAATCAAAAGGTACAAAGGATATATGATGAAAAGTCTTCCTTATATCCCTCTACCAGATACCTATCCAGTTCTCTTCTCTGGAGACAGCCAATGTTAACAGTTTCTGTGTATCCTTCCAGAGATATTCTGGGCAAAACAAACGTGTGTATCCCCCCTTTAAACTGTTATTTATGCTGTTTGCCACCTTACCTTATTTAACTCAAAAACATATCTTGAAGATTATTTAATATCAACATATAAAGAACTCCCTGTTTCTTGGTGTATGCTAAAAAGAATTCCATTTTATGAATGTGTCATGATATATTTTCCAGGTCCCCTGTTAATGGACATTGAGACAGTTTACCAAGTTTTGCTCTTACAAACATGCTGCAAAAGATAATCTAAAAATCTGCTATTTCCCACATTTGGGAATATATGTGAAGGGTTAATTCCTAGAAGTGGAATTGCTAGGCCAAATGATATGTACAATTTAAGTTGTGATAGATTTTCCAAGTACCTGGAATGGTGCCAGGTGCTCAGTGAGTATTTGTCAAATGAAGAAATGAGTTGCCAGATTGCCTTCCACAGGTTACATGCTGGTTAAGTAGGGAGAGACCCTGTACTCCTGTATCCTAGTCCACAATTTTAACAGGGTTTATAGTAGCTCTTAACACTGTTTAATTCTTAAGTTACATAGTTAGTCTCCCAGTGCTGGACATTTAAGTTGTTTCCAGATTTGACCGTGATGGATAACACTGTGAGGACCAATTCTATGTATAAATGCTTGTAACTATTTTTTGTATTGTTTGGATAAATGCCCAGACATAAAATTTGGGGGTACAAGAATATAAATTGTACTATAATCTCTGATATATATTCCCAGATTACTTTTAGAAAAGTTATACCATTTTATATTTCTATGAGAAGTATGTGCAAATACCTTAATTACTGCATCCTGGCTAATCATTTAATTACAATTTAAAGAATTGAAAACACTATAATATTTATTTGGTATCTATTGAATGCCTGTGAATATATCTGATTGAGATTTGGTTTCAAGACTGCTGGGAATTCTTGGAACTGCTGGTGCTCCAGCACCTCCAGGGTGAAACTTCTGATTTGGTGTCAGGGTGGCTCCTTTTCTCTTAGCTCTGATCCATGGACCTGGTATGGCTTCTGGTCTGCCCAGTGTTTCCCAGTTGTCCTACGTTAGTCCCAGGTTGCCAAAAGTTCCTTAGATGTCATTAAAGATATCTTGTGACCGAAATGGAACCGCTGTGTGCCTTCACATGGGAAGATAAATAGTGGGAGCTGATGAGACAGATCCTAGAGGTGGTGCTCAGGGAGTGAGTCTGGGCTGACCTACTGTTCATTGAACTATCAACTCTGGCTGATTCCTCTGAAGCTGAGGGTATTTTGAATGTCTCACTTGAACTGGGGATGGTGGGGACATTATTACAGTGCTATGCTTATAACTGGTGAATCTCTGGTGACTGTAAATGTGCTGTAATGGCTGCCCAAATGTTTTATACAGGTTTTCTACTACTTTCTAAATTTGTCTTATTTCTCCTGAATAACCACACAACTGAAAAAAGTGCAAATGCAGATGCTCGCTAATTAGTATACATTTAAATCCCCCAGTTTAACCCAGTATCCTTTTCAGTTGTGAGACTAATAACATGTGCCTGGTTTGTCATATTTGAGGGGAATTGTTGCCCTCCTGGGCAGCAGGATCACGCAGTGGATGCAGCAGGCACTGGTTTACTGGTTTGGATTCTGAGCTTCACTGTGTAGTAGCTCTCAGCTTCAGTTTCCTCATCAGTAGTGATAATAATATCCACCAACTGGGGTTGTAGTGAGGGTTAAATGAGATAACACACATAAAGCGGAAAGCTTAGAGAATGGCATGTAACTACTATTCAGTAAATTTTGGCAAAGAAATCTGATTCAGTTTTGTGGAAACGACCGTTTTGAATTGCAGAATGTTGTTGGGGAGAACATTTTTAAAAATTATGATTTGTATGTAGATTTAGTAACATCTTGCCAAATTGAGGCCTTTTTAGGTCTGGTATAATGAATAGAGGTTAATTGCCATATTTAATAAGAATGCCATAGGTCCTGCTAAAATTTTTAAACAAGATTTATTTTTTAGGTGGTTAAACATACATGTCTGTTTACAGTGTCAACAATTCTCAAATATATTGGTGTAAAAGTAGTTAGCATAGTCCTGGTCCAGAATTTCACAAATCTGAGTTGTTGCTTATTGTATATTTGGAAGCAATTAGAATATTTCAGAAATTTTATATAGAAGTCATAATCTTTACGAATAGTTTCATAAACATCATCAATAACTTTTTTCTTCAAGTTCTTCTCTTATGCATGTGTTTATCGGTAAAAAATTTAGCCATGAAATAACTCTGAATTGATGGGTGTAACTAGACTTATTATGGTGATCATTTTGCAATATATACAAATATTGAATCATCATGTTATACACCTGAAGCTAATATAATGCTATATGTCAACTATATCTCAATTACAAAAACCTAACTTATGTTGTTTTAGTCATAGTCTCTCTTCAGAAATAGTTTTCTTACTTTCGTTATTTTGTGTCCTTTCTTGCAGGAGCTGACCAGTGCTTTGGTTCATATACGACTGCATCTTTTCATTCAGATCTTTACACTTGCATTCTTCCCAGCAACAATATGGCTTTTTCTTCAGCTCTTATCAATCACTCCGATCAATGAATGGCTCTTAAAAGGGTATGTTTAAATGTTTTGAAGAGTCCACTTTTTAATTAATTTTTTATTGTTGGCACTATTGCAGATGTCCCCCATTTCCCCCTCCTTGTCCTTCTTCACCCATCCCCCATCCCCTCACCCCCTCTGCCACTTTTATGTTGTTGTCTGTGACCATGGGCTATACATATATGCACATATGCTCATGAAGGGTCCACTTTTAATGGGGCATCTTTAGTGACATTACTGTTTGTGTAACAACTATATATAAAAGGGCTTACATGTGATATAAGAAAATAAAAACACTTTTAGCATTATTATTATTCTTTCAAATGATAGTGTTTCATCAAGGAGATCCATCAAAGAATTTTGTGACAGAATGTTAAAATACACTCATATTCTTAATCCTAAGGTTCTAGATGAGCACTTCTGGGAATTTAAGAGTTATGTTGGGAGAAAAATGGAAGTGACTAGAGATTATAAGATCCATATGTATGTGTAAAAATGTAGGCTATCAATTGGGTGCTTTAACTTTTAAGAATTATTTTACCAAATGTACACAGGTAATGACTGAGTATAATGTGCCTTTAAAATGTATAGGAAAGAAAAAAATATATACAGGGGACAAACATTTACTTTTTTACTTGTTCTGTTTTATGTTTGATTGGATAGTTGAATTAACAAGATTTTTATTAGAATCTTTCTTCTATTAAAAATGTTGCCATGTTTATTTAAAGCATTTGATGATTTTAAAAAAATTATTTGAATTGGTTTAAAACTGACCAGATGTTAGCATCATGGTATAATAGCTAAAATACTGAACTTAAAGCCCTGCGATTGCACTCTGACCCTGTCCCTAACTTGCTATGAGACTCTGAGGAAAGGCATTTGATAGTTTTGAATCTCAGTTTCCCAGTTTATAAAATGAAGATAATCATGCTTTTATTGCCTGTTTAACAACAATATCAGGGAAATCAATTAAATAATTTATTTAGCTCCTACTATATGCCAGGAATTATTATAGGTATTGGAAAACCAACAGGGAACAAAATTGGCCAAGACCCAATGAGTTTTGCTCATTGAAGAGACTCAGGGTGTGATTGTCAGTAAACAAGTAAATAGATGACCAAGACACAAATAAGTGATGTGAAGTAAAACACTATGATATGGTTGAAAGTGGTTAGGTGCACAGGCTGGTGATTAATTTAGGTTGTAGAGTTCTGGGGGCAGAGTGTTTCGGCAAAGGAAACAATGTACAAGGGCTCCAAGGCAGGACCAACCCTGGTATGTTCAAGGGCCACAAAAGCAACCATGGTGGCCAGAACCTGGTGATATGACTAATATGACTTGGAGTTGGAAAGGTAGGCAGGAACCAGTCACCCAGAGCATTGTAGGCCATGGTAAAGCATTCAGATTTTATTCTGAGTGCTACAGGAAGCTACTAGAGGGAATTAAATGAGAAAGTGGTGTTGTCTTATTTATATTTGCCAATGAGTCTCCCAATGACTCTGGATAGTAATAGATAGTAGAAGGGCCCGAGAGAAAGCTAGGAGACCAGCTTGGAGGCTGGTGTGGTGTAGCAGCACGTTAGGGAGAAGTGGATGCATAAAGGATATATTTTAAAATTGGAGTTCTCAGAACCCAGGGATGGATAGGCTATGGAGAGAGGAGGACAGGGAGGAATCACAGATGACTTCCTGGATTTGGGGTATGAGCCACAGGGTAATTGGTGACATCTGTTACTTAGCTGGAGAGAAATGAGTTAGGGTGAGAGGGGAAAATCAAGGGTGCTGTTTTAGCCAGATTGATTTTGAGAGAATGAACATAAAATTTTACTGAAAAGCATAAAATGTTGTTTAAATATGATGACATCATATAGAGCAACAATGTACGAGGTGGGCAAAAGTAGGTTTGCCATTGTCATACAAAATAAATAATACAATAATTGATAAATAATATGATAACAGTAAACTGTTTCATGCACTCACAACTGTAAAGCTACTTTTGCCCACCTCTGTATAATGCATATTACCAATAGTTATTGAGTATCTGCCAAGTAAAGAGCACTCAAGAAATAGGAAGATATTAACTCATTTTGCTTGTATTAAGGGAACTCCATTTAGTTGGATATGTAGGACATATATATAAAATAGTAACCAACCAAAATGGGGCAGCATATGATTTGTCAGATGAGTGGTGTAATCAGTTAAAGGGTAAGAAGTTCAGCAAGGGTTGTGTACTTCTAAAACAGAATTCAAACATGAGATGTTAGTGGGAGAAAGATGAAAAGCTTCCTTAAGCCCTGGCTGGTGTGGCTCAGTTGGTTGGGATCCCATGCACTGAGGGGTCACTGGTTTGATTCCTGGTGGGGGCACATTTGATTCCAGGTTTCGGGCTCGATCCCAGTAGGGGGTGTGCAGGAGGCAGCCGATCAACGTTTAGCTCTCACATCGATGTTTCTCTCCCCTTTTCCCTTCTCTCTCTCAAAAAAAAAGCTTCTGTAAGGCCAACTTTACAAAGATGAGAACTACTGAATCTGTACATGATGGAGAGTTCTTAAATGTGGCAAACGAGAGTAATAGGCTAAAACGTGGTCATGAAGGAGGATTCATCTGATAGCATTGTACTGGGTGTACAGGTGGTGTAGAGTGGGGCCAGCAATTTCTGTATGCTGAATAAACAAGCATGCAGTGTACATTCTACATGAATGCTGAGTAATGTTTTTTATCTTGAGCACTTTAGATTTACTACTCATAGTTTCATTTGCTGGTTATGCAATGTATTTTCTATCCTAAACTCAGAGAATAGACTTCTTGTCATGATCTGGGTATTAAAAACCAAATTTGGAATAGACACTAGAATTCACATTAGAGTCTGAATTCAGGAAGTATATGATTGTGTCATGCCTGTTTCTATATTGAAAGTACAACATGAAAATGCCTTTTATGAGATGAAAGTTTGAGAATTGCTATTTTGTAGAAAGGAATCAGCACATGTAAGCTTATGTTTTGTTAAATATTTTTGAACTTTGGAAGTGATTTTAAAATTTTATTTTTGCGAAAAAATTTCTACCAAAAAATGTAAGGAAAAGACACCTGAAAATAACCCCAGGCTAAATTATATACATTTACCAAAGGATTAACCATTTTGGTTATCTTTCAATGACTACACTTACTCTAACTTGACTATTTTTTAAAAATTATATAGTAAGAGCTTAAATAACTTTAAAAATAACATTGCTCAGGGCTGTGAATGGAATGAGTGTCCCCAGGCATTTGCAGCATCTTCTAAGCCATGTTGCCTCTTAAAGAATTGTCTGAACTCAACAGGGCATGTGCGTCAATAATCACTCTCCTGTTTTCATTTACGCAGCTCTGCTATTTTAGAATGAATGTAGTGAAAACTGTTATGATTGAAAAAAATACTATTTATAATTGCACTTTCTTTTATTTTTCAGTTTGCAGACTGTAGGTTGCATGCCTCCCCCTGTGTCTTCTGCAGTGATTTTAACCAAGGCGGTTGGTGGAAATGAGGTGAGTCATGGGGTTAACTTTATTTAAACAGAAGTGGGTGCTGTGCTTTTATTTTTATATTTTATGACAAAGGAGTCATGTCACAGAAAACACATAACCATAGCAGCTTATGAAAGAAACAGGTTATTTATATATTGGAACATCTGGCCCTTGGACCGAAATCATTTGGTCTGGCCCTGCCAAGGCAACCGAAGGGGGACTCAAAAGTCAATAAATTCAATTAAGTGTTTGACCAAATACAGCAGGCTAATTTTTAAGTTGATAATTTTGTATGGCCTGAGAATGATGTTATAAATATCCAAATGGCCCTTGGTAGAAAAAAGGTACCCCACCCCTGTATTAGGATGATGCTAAAATTGATGATAGTGAGGGGAATTTGGGATTTCAAAGAGAAGAACAAGGGAGGTGAATGAAATAGGGATGGTGATTTCTCTACCTTAGTGGGAAGTTGGGAGACAGAGGACAAGGAATCCAAGGAAAAGGACTTTCCATCCAAGACTCACAAACCAAGGACACCGCTACAGCCATTCCTTAGTTCTTAAAAAATTTGAAACAAATTAAATTTGTGGAAAAAGGGTCAGTGTAAGTTTAATGGCTAGTGAAGATAATATACAAAGGAGAATTAAGGCCAAATTTCTAAGATAAGTTCAAAGAAATTGTCCGGCTGCTAGGGGACTGGCATAAGAAGAGTGCTTGTGTATTGGGATAGCAGTTGTTCATTTCAGAAGCTACTTGTGGGTGGTTCTTCTGGGCTGAAAGGCCCTACAACTTTGTACCGAGGGACTTGGCCTTGTGGCTTATTCCTCCTTTTCCACTTACACAGTCCATCGTTCAGAAAAGAATGCTGTCGAATAAGGGAAGGTATAAGGGGTTGCAGCTTCACTTCATTCTTAGGAGTTTGCTTTCTCAGCATCCGTTTTCATTTTCATCCACTTCATACATTTAAAAAATATTTCTTGATCACATGCTATATTCTTTTTACAAACAGGTTTATTGAAGTATTATTGACATACAATAAACTGCATAAATTTAAACAATTTAATGTTTTGACATATGTATATACCTGTGAAACCCTCACTAGAATGAAGATAGAGAACATGTGCATCACCCTAAAAAGTTTCCTTGTACCCTTTGGTATCCTTCTCTCCTGTCCTTTTTAGCATTCCTTTTCTCCCAGTAACACTGATCTGTTTTTTTATCACTGTGGATTAGTTTGCATTTTCTAGAGTTTTATATAATGGAATCATACAGTGTGTACTCTTTTTTTGCTCTATTTTTACTCAGCATAATTATTTTGCAATTTATCTATATTGTGTATATCAATTTTTCATTCCTTTTTATTGCTGAGTTGTATTATTTTGTATTGTTGTGCCACAATTTGTTTATCCATTCACTTGTTGATGGACATTTGTGCAGTTTCCACATTGGAGCTATACACATTTTTGTATAGATCTTTACGTGGAAGTAAACTTTCAGTTCTCTTTGGAATACTTAGCGGTAGAATGGCTGGATCATCTTATAGGGGTAGGGAACCTTTTTTCTGCCAAGCACCATTTGGATATTTATAACATCATTCTTGGGCCTACCAAATTGTTGTTGCTATGAAAAAAGCTCCTAGATTTATTGAATTTCGAGTCCCACCTGCGGTTGACTTGACAGGGCCAGACCAAATGATTTCTCGGGCCTTATATGGCCTCCAGGCCAGACGTTCCCCACCCCTGATCTAGTACGGATATGTTTTAGTGCATTTCAACCAAGGGAGGAATCACCAGTGAATAGTTATAAATCATCTATAAATAGCTTCTGAAGTGAACCATTTCTTTTCATATACAGGTACTCTTCTTTTTACCACAGGTGCATGTTTAACTTTTTAAGAAATTGCCAAAGTATTTTCTAAAGGGATTGTACCATTTTGCATTTCAAGCAGTGGTGCATGAGAGTTCCAGTGCTTCACATCTCAGCAACGCTCGCTATTGTCAGTCTTTTTAATTTCAGCTATTCTGATATGTGTATCAGAATGATAGTAGTATCTCATTGTAGTTTTAATTTAATTTGCGTGTCCCAGTGACTAGTGATGGTGAGCATTATTATCTTTACACGTGTTTATTTGCTGTCTATGTCTTTTTTGGTAAAATGTCTGTTAAACCTTTTGCTTTTTTTTAAATTGGGTATTTGGTTTTCTTATTGATGAGATTTGAGAGTTTTATATATTCCAGTTACAAGTCCCTTTCATCAGATACATACTTTGTAAGTATTTTCTCCCAGTGTGTGGTTTGTTTTTTCAATTTCTTACCAGTGTCTTGAAGAGCAGGATGGTAGTGGAGGCACTAAAGTGTGGTTGGATTCCTTACGTATTTTAAAGGCACAGGATATGCTGATGAATTGGATATGGGGTGTGAGAAAAAGAAAGATGTCAAGAATGACTTCAGAGTTTCTGACTGAGCAGCTGAAAGGATGGAGTTGCTGACATGGAGATGAGTACTATGTGAGGTTTGGGGGGTATCAGTCTGGGTGATAACTAAGAATGCCAAAATCTCAATGATCAAACGTATAGGCTTATTTCTTGCTCATGGTACATGTCCTGTGTGGGTCAGTTGGAAGGTCTTTGCAGTCACTAAGGAAGCCTGGTTAATGGAGGCCCCATGTCTTGAAGGTACACCATCTGGATGGAACACAGCATTTTCAGTTGCCACAGCAGGGAAAGAGAGAGATTGGAGAGTCACCAATGGGCTTTCCTCTGTCCAGGCTGGAAGTGATACAAGGCACTTCTGTTCACATTAAATTGGCCAGAACAAGTCATATGGCTTTACTATGTGTTGTTATTGATGTGCCCTGGAGGAGAAGAGAACTGGACGTTAGTGAACACTTGTGACGTTAGCCACATGGGTAAAGATCAGGAGTTTGTGTTTTGTTGTGTTAAGGTGCCTATTACATGTCCAAATGGAAATGTCAGTAAGCAATTAGAGATACAGTGTTGAGAGTTCAGGTCTAAAATGGAGATATACATTAGGGAGTCATCAGTGAATAAATGGTATTTCAAGCCAATATTGGAGGCGATTACCTGGGAAGAGAGCATAGAGAGAAAAGAAAAGAGGTTCAAGGACTGAGCTCTGGGACCCTCCATCATTATGAGGTCGGGGTAATGAGGAGTAACCAGCAAAGGCAACATAGAAAACGTAGTGAGATGGAAAGAAAAACAAGGAAGTGTGTTATCCTGGAAGCCAGGTGATGAAAGTGTTTGAAGGAAGAGGGTATGATCAGCTATGTCAAATCTGCTGGTATAAGTTGTGTAAGGTGAATTCTGAGAATTAACCCTTTAAGCTACATGGAAATTACTGGTAACCTTGGCCAGAGTGGTTTTGGTAGAGAATAGGGGCAAATGCTTGTTTGGAGTAGGTTCAAGGAAAAACAGGGAGAGAGAAATTAGAGACTAGGGTTACAAACATCCGTTTTTAGGTCTTTTACGATTAAAGGGAATAGAGAAATGGGGCCTCATTTAACAGAGGATGTGGAGTCAAGATTATTTTTAGTGCCAAAATGACTGCATGTTTCTACCTTGATGCGAACTGTGCAGCAGAGAGGGAGCTGTTGATTTGAGAGAGGGTGCTGGGGTAATTCATTTGGGCAAGTGGGAGAGAATGGTCAGGTTGTATGAGCTGCAATAGGAGCTTGGACCTTTCGTTTATAATAACAGGAGGGAAGGCAGAGTGCAGGTATAGATCCGTGGAGATGGGTAGGGGGGTACACTTGGGAGTTCTCTTCTGATGATTTTATTTTTTCTCAGCAGCTGAGAGTCATGACAGGGTAAGTGCTATGAATGTTTGAGCTGAGAGGAGAAATGTGCCATTACCATCTAGATGAGGAGAGTGAGTTAGCTGGAGAGTGTAGTAGCGTTACCAGGCCGCACTGAGGACCCAGCCGAGATTCAGTCATGCATTAAAAGTGAAGCCAGGCATCACGGTTGTGTGTTTGTGTGTTTTTTTCTTAGCCGCACTTAGCTTTTTGGTGTAGGAATAGAATTGACAGATCGTTGGAAACCCAGGGTTTCATTATGCCACCTAATTCTTTCAGTTACCACATAATTAGTGAGATAGAGGAGTTATAGGAGTCTTGGACTAGTGCCTGCTATGGTTTTCTATCACCTTGAAATGATTTGAGGAAAGGGTCTCTTTTGGTAATATCTGAGATCACTGTTAATTGGTTTAAATGTGTCATTTGTGTCTTTCTTTCTGATGTGATTCCCTTAAGAGCCATAAGGCCAAAAAACCTTTTGTTCTCAAATGACTTTTGGCAGAAGTTCAAAGTTCATTCATTTTCTTGACATTAACATATAGCATTAAAAAGTGTGTTTACATGTTCATTACTCAGTAGATATTTAAATTGTTTACATTAATGTTTTATGTTAATAAGTTTGAGTTTACAAACATTTCCTTTGTTTTCTAAAATCATTGGTCTAGTTCTTTAAATGTTTATATGGTACATCTTCATGACTATCAAGCATTGAGGAGTAAGATTCAGTTTTTCATAAATATTGAAAATTGAGCTTCAGAAATGAAGCTCGTGCAGTCCATTTTGGCCGAATCTTCTGATGTTAAATGAATAAGACTTTTATACTTGTGTCAGATTATGGAAGAAAATGATCTGCAAGTGAAAATATAAGATCATTTTAAGTTTAATATTTTCCTAAAATAATGTTATAAAGTAACTGAATATAAGCTTTTGCTGAAGTAAATTTAAGGGAAGATTAATGTAGTCTACGGATGAAAAGTGAATTTATTGGTGCATGTAAATGAAGAGGTCTGAGAGCTGAATCCAGTGTCAGGTGCCATTGGGTGAAGGTTCTGAGTCTCCTCTGTGATTCTCTGTTCTGTCTGCCACATGGTGGCTTTGTACCCACGAGGATTTCAAGATGGTAGATAAATTGCTGGGGTGCATTTCTATGTTTTTTCAAACTGACTAGTCTTGGCAGTATTTATGACATGTAAGAAACCCTGTTTTAA